AAGGAAATCTCCTCATTTTGCTCTTTGTATTTTGAACCTACAATCTAGATAAAATTAAATCGAGCACCACATAATGATGATGGGAGAGACATGGACTCTAACGGTCGTCTTTCAATTTTCACTCATCTTGGGTGAGCTTTTGGTCAACTAGATAAATCTCAATTTTTAGACAAAGATGAGTTATATGTTGCCAAACTATATGTTTTCATGAATTGCATGGAGATGCTTCCTTATATTGGGTAAGTACCATTATACCTTAAACCTTAGAGATTGATATTAGATAATATTGATTTGTGATGTGAATGTAATGTTAAGATAGTTGATGAAATGATTGATATATCAGAAGATGAAATGGAGAAAATACATGATGCAAAATTTGCACAATGGTTCCAAGAATATGTAAGTTTATGTGCAATCTATAAGTTGCCACTTAATAAAAACTAGGCATTAGTTGCCACTTAATAATAAATAGGCATTACTAATGTGCATTAACAATTAATGCTCTTGTATTACATTTTGGTAGGTCATAGAACGTAAAGATGAAACTGACCCATGTATAGTTGAAATTTCTCTTAGTCCAAGATGTATGGCAAGGTGTTACAAAGGATACTTCATAAATGGTTTCAAGTTCCACACCTTAGATTATGGGGTAAAATCATAAGATAATGAATAATGGGTACGTGTCAAAGGGAGTTTGTACAACAATTATGAGCATGACTTTTATGGTATCTTAATGGATATAATCAAGTTGGAATATTTTGGTATCAGATATAGAGTTGTGCTATTTAAGTGTCATTGGTTTGATATTGAAAAAGGTGTTAGGGTAGACCCTTGTCATGGCCTTACTGAAATTAAACACAACTTGATGCTTGTTATGAATGAACCATTTGTTTTAGCTACACGAGCTCACCAAGTTCACTATAATAGTTTGATGTGATTAATGGGTAGTATTTCAAACAAAAGCTAGAAGTAGATTCCACCTTCATGTGGTGGAGACAAAGAAAATGAAATTGATTTGAATGAAGAAGTGTAGCAAGAAAATGATGTGTATATTCCAATTAATATTACTCCTTATGAGGACCTTCATATCCTTACAGTATTAACAAGTGCAATTATGAAGAGGTTAATGTCTTGTTTGAGGATGAAGAAGATGACATGGAAGAGGATGAAGAAGAAATAGATGAAGAAAAACTTCAAGGACAAAGATGAAGAAACTTTTAGTGATAGTGATGAGAATGAAGTCCATGAAGAACATGAGTTTGCTTATTCTGAAAGGGATTGATGGTGTTAGAAATATATGTTAATGGTTTTGTATCTTTTCTTACATAATTATTTAACTTTATTATTATTATTATTGAAAAGCCTTGATATGTTATTATATTATTTTAATTTATATTTTAAAATATTTAAATGTATGTTAGAATGGCATGTTTTTGTTAACATTTTTTATTGTAAAAATATATGAGAATTAGTCTTGATTCTTATATTTTGATGATGATTTTGATAGTTTGTTTCAATTTCCTTTATCTTATATGGCTTGTTTTTGTTAACATTTTTTATTGTAAACATGAATGAGAATTAGTCTTAATTCTTATATTTTGATGATGATTTTGATAGTTTATTTCAATCTCTTTTAACTTATGTATGAATATTTTGTTACATTGTAGGAATGATGGTTAAAGGAAAGTATTCAAAACCAAGACCTTAAGCAACAAATGCCTCTGGATCAATGTTGTCACTTACAAATGCTAGTGCATTTCCTAATCCATCCATTCATCCACAGAGACAATAGGCCAATGATTTGCCCTCAAAGCCACCCTCTTTGTTTGATGCATCTGCAAAGCCAATAATCAATATGACATTTGCCCACGATTCTCATGGACACACATCCGTTGATTTAGGTGTAAGTGAAAATCGTACATCTTCAAGGTCGAGGGGTAGAAGGTCTGGCGTAGGAATACATACATCCATAGATCCAACTCAAAGATTGCGTATAACTCCTTTTGGAGGTAGGTATATTATCTTATATTATAATGAAATAGTTATATCTCTTATATATTTTACTAAGCAATAATTTTCTTTTATCTTATAGTGGTACTTTTTTTGAGACAGCGATCACCATAACAATAATAGGAATTACAAAAAATCACTTCCACAGTCCATGGCTGACATGGAAGAAAGTCCCTAATAATGTTAAGGATTTAATGTTTAAGAAATATGAGGTATATGTTTATTATTCAATTAAATTATAATTTCTTGTTTTTAATTATATATTAAAGCTTTTATTTACTCTATTATTTTATTGTAGAAAAAATTTATCTGGGCTTTAAATGAAGATTTTTTGGTTTTATGAATATGGAATAAAATTCGTTCTAATAGACTAAGAGGCATGCTTTTAGAAAAGAAGCCAACATAGAAAACATCATGGACTGCAAAGGCATGTCAAGGTAATGGATCACAAATAAACTTTGGGATGTCTTATCGATACGATACGGGATACAGAAGAATGAAAAAACAAATCGAAACAAGGGAGAATCATTTAACACAAAAAAGGGAAACATTACAAAGCACATTGATGGTTCAGTTTTGTTCCTTGTTCATGCAAAAATGATGGTATGAATTTATATTTATTCATTATGCTTTAGATACTACAACTTCCCATATTATAATATGCTTTACATCTTATGTAAAATAAGCGCATTATGATTAAGTATATTTGTAAATGAATGCAAGCAAATGGGATGAATTGAGATGTTAGCTTTAAAGAAGTATTCAACCGCACCGATAGATGTTTAAGAGGTCATGGTGATTCATAGACAATAAGTCTAAAACTAGTAGTATATATAAAAAATTTGACTTAGATACATTTTTTGATATGGCATATAATTGCACATTTAACTCTATTTTTATATTTGCTTATTGTGTGTTTGTAATGATTTTTAATTTGGCCAACTCAACTTTGAATTAAGCATTTTAATTGCATGTTAATTGTAAGCTGTGTAGATTATTTTTATTAATTTGTTATTTTAATAACAAAATTTACTTTTTTAAGGATTCTTATGAATTTTTTGTTGGTAAACCGTTTCCAACGAAAAATTTCGAAGGAAAATCTGTTACAAATTTTTAATGGAAACTTCCATTAGAAACTCCATTGGTAATTTCCAACGGAACTGTTGATAATTTTCAACGGAAACTTCTGTTAGACATTCGTTGGAAACTTCTAATAGAAAATTCTGTCAATAAATTTGTTGGAATTTTTGTGTTTTAGGACAAGAAAAATAATATATTGAAATTTAGCTTTTTTTCTACAGATTTATGTATATTTCCAATGAAAATTCCTTTGCAATTCTGCGACAGAGTTAAGACAGATTTTTGACGAAAAGTATTTTTGACAACACTTTAGATACCAAATTTTCAATGAAAAATTCTGTTAGAAATCCATCAGAAAAAGTATTTCCAACGGAAACTTAACTATTTCATATGAAAAAAGTTCCGTCGGAAAAAGTTTATTTTTTTGTAGTGAATAAGCTAATTGCTTAGCAACATATGAGCTTGAAAATTTTGAGTTTTTGTTGGCCATGACAATTTGGTATGATACATTGTTTGTTGTTAACTCTACTAGTAAAAATTTGCAATCAAAAGATATGTGTATTGATGTTGCTAGAGAACAATTAAAAGGTCTTTTTTTTTTTTTGAAAAATATAAAGAAGATGGATTTGCATCTGTTATAATTTCTTCTAATGAAATTGCGTCTAAAATAAACATTGAATCTAAATT